GATCAAACACCGCATATTTCTCTACAAGTTACAAGTTCAAGCACTAAAGCTACAGGTTCAAGTTCAAGATCAAGAACGAAGCCAAATCAAATACCAATGCGTTCAAGATCAAATTACTTGTTCGTGACCAAATTCAAATTCAAATTCAAGAAGGAAATTCAAGACTAAGCTTTACAAGCTTTTGAATCAAATCAAAGTCAAGCTCATTAAAATATTTTACATTATTGAAGAATCATAGGAATACCATAAAATTATAACACTCAATATTTATTGAAATCAAATACTACATTTATTGCGCAATTTTTTAGTCTTGATTATTTATTTTTCTCGATGCGAGAATTTGTTGTTACAATCGTATTTCATTTATTCTCTTCTTCTTTCTCCTTTTTTTGGTCATGCGCAATTTTATTTTTTTCTCCCCAAAAATACTTTATTGATTGATATTTAAAGTTATATCCAACTTAAAATGTATTTAAAAAGGGTAAAAAAGACGAATGATTTAATAATATTAAAATAGTACCTCTTTTGTTTCAATTTAAATTACACATTTTTCTTATTAGTTTGTTCAAAAAAGAATGATACATTTTTATATTTGAAAATAATTTAACTTTAAACTTTTATTTTACACACTTTACCCTTGATGAGAAGCTTTTATAGCTACACAAATATCATGGCCTCACAAAGCTTTAGCCGTTTAAGCTTTTAGGACCACATATTTCAAAAATCTTCTTATTTTTCTTAAACGTTGTGATAAGTCAAACTAAATCATCTAAATTGAAACAGAAGGAGTAATAAATAACTAGATGGAGTGACATAATATCAATTAAATTTGTTAAAACATACTCCCTCTGGCCCACCGTAATTAATTTTTTGGCTGTTTCACACATATTAAAGAATTCACATTTTGCCATTAATTAATAATGAAAATGACCGTATTAACTTTAATTTGTTCATTGAAAATATAACAAATACTCTTAAGTTCTTTACTTCAAGGACAATTTAAAAAAAAATTAATTCTTTCTTGATATCCGAAAAAATTAAATATTATGGACCACAAGAAAAAGATTAAAAAAATCAATTTGCAGCCTGCATTTTCTAGCTTATTCGATTTTGCGAAATGCTTTTGGTATTCGCAGTTTGCTTTCAAATGGGTGCTATTGTAGCTTCCTACCTTCAACCTTTTTCAATTTCGCAGCTCCTACTTTTAATTTAATCCTGCAATTTCTGTTGGAAATTTTGGCCCTTTCCTCAAAACGTGGCCGTTTTACTGAGTTGATAAATAATGACGCATTTCATTGCACGTGGCAGCCGTATCGTGTCGGTTTCGGTTTCACCATCTCTATATAAGGGTAGAATTGGGAATACAACATTGTATTAGGTTTGTTCTTATCGCCTTTTCTTCTTTTTCTTGCCTACGACGTTAGCCACATTTTTTCTCTAGAATCCTCTTTATAGATCTCAATTTCTAGAAGATACTTCTTTCCTCATATTTTGAAGTCAAATTAACCGCAGATCTGGAGGTATACTATTTGAGGTTTCTTCTTCTTCATCTTTTTTCTTTTCTTCTTAATCTTTGGTTGATACTTGGCTAGCAATCACATGTGAATGGCCAAATATATAATTTAGCTATTTAAAGCATGTTTGGAATGAAATCATGTAATTGGATTTGAGTGTAATTGGATGCACTTACATAGTTTAATCTATTTGTCTAATCAAGTAATTACTTGACAAACATAAAATTGAGTATAATTGGATGAAAATAATTACACTATTCAATTCCCAAGGGACCAAAGAATTACGCTGGGTAATTACATGGTGTAGTTATCATATGAATTTTTATTTTTCTTCTCTCTTTTTTTTTTTTTTAAATATTTCTTAGATACACATATTTATCACATTAAGATTTATTCTTCTTCTCTCTCTTTTTTTCTTTTTAATATTTCTTAGATACACATATATTTGTCACATTAAGATTTATTTAGGAAAAATACTTACTCCATCTGTTTTGTTTCAATTTAAATGATATACTTTACTTATTAGTTCGTTTCGGAAAAGAATGACATATTTCTATAATTGAAAACAATTTAACTTTAAACTTTTTATTTTACCCAATTTATCCTTAATGAGTCACAAAAATGTTATGGCCCACAAGGTTTGCCCATTAAGCTTTAGGACAATATATTTTAAAAGTATTTTTTCCTTAAATTTTGTGCCAAGTCAAACTATATCATCTAAATTGAAACGGATGGAGTATTTAATTTTTTATAATTAGATTTTATTTAAAATAAAGAACATCAAACTCCTTTTAATTTATGTGTTTTACTTTCCTTGTTAGCATGTTAAAAGAAATATCTCTTTCTATATTTGGTAACTTTTTAACTTTAACTTTTCACATGATATATTTAAGACCACAAGATTTAAGAATATTTTAGTATATTATACACATCTTTAGTTTAAGATCACATGATTTAAAAGTTTTCATACTTTCTTAATTTTCGTGCCCAATATCGTTGACATATATTGTACACATGACATTTTGTTATAGCCTATAAACACATTGAAGGGTAAATTTAATCCATCAAAGTTGTACTCAGGGAATATTGTAGTTCGGAAAGGATTTGAACCTAGAATCTCCAGGTTGTACTCTTGTACTCAATCATTTATCTCTTTGGTACACAATTTGATATGTCTTTGTCATTATCTTCTTTTTTAATCATTGGTTGGTGTTCGGGTAACCAACCATATGTCATTAGTCAAAGATCTCATTTTGTCATTTAGCCATTTAGTTGTTATGGAATATTTGTTCTGTTATTCCATCCATTTTATTTTGTCTTGTGTCAACCTGCAGATGCATTAGTTCGTAGGTGTGAAACTACGGTGAGTGAAGGTGTTAAAAAAAAAGATGGGGTAGATCTAAAATCACATGGAAAGAAATTATCTCAAAAGATTTTTGAAATCAATGCAAACTTAACTAAAAGATAAAACACAGTTTCATATAAGTTATACCTACTAGTTCAAAATATGGGTTGAGCTTAAAGAATGAAATGATTAATTTATACAGTAGATCCCAACTTGTTTGAAATTGAGAGATAGTTGTTCTTGTTGTTATTGACTTTTTTCTTTTTAGTATGTTTCGAAAAGGACATATTTCAATCAAGACTCTTTAATTTTAAAATTATCATTTTATTCTTAATGAGATGGTCTTATGGGCAAGAAGTATTACAACTTGTTTAAGACCACAAATTTTAAAAGTACATTTGGTGTGTGACAAAAGTTCTTCTTTCTCTAGTTAGGTCATGGTAAGTAAAAATATCTTTTTAGTTTGGCTAAATGTGCTAATGAGAGAATGAGGAGGACCAATACGACAAGGGTCGTGAATGATTTATCTGAATTCATCTATATTATGGTGTTACGACCCGGGTTAGGAAGGTGGGAGGAGACTCCGAACATTTCACATTCGTGATGGGATTACATCAGGGATCCGTGCTTAACTCGTTTTTATTTGCCTTTGCGATGGATGTTGTGACAACACATTTAAGGAGAGATGTCATGGTGCATGTTATTTGCGGATGACATAGTACTGATTATGAAAACGCGAGGGTGAAGGTTTGGAGACAGACTTTGGAGTTAAAATATTTCAAGTTGAGCAGGACTAAAATAGAGTATTTGGAATGTAAGTTCAACGACGTGACTCATGAAGCAGACGTGGAAGTGCGGCTAGATTCACAAGTCATCCCCTAGAAAAGTAGTTTCAAGTATCTCAGATCTATAATTCAAGCTAATAGAGAGATTGACGAGGATGTCACACATCAAATTGGAGCGGGATGAATGAAAATGAGTCTCGCTTCCGGGATCTTGTTTGATAAGAAGGTACCACCAAGACTTAAAGGTAAGTTCCACGGAGTAGTGGTTAAATCAACTATGTTGTATGGGGTGGAGTGCTGACTTGTCAAGAACCATGTCCAAAAGATGAAAGTACGAGGAATGAGGATGATGAGATGAATGTCTGGCTATACTAGGATAGATAAGATTAGCAATAATGATATTCGGGACAAGGTGGGAGTGGCCGCCGTAGAGGACAAGATGTGGGAAGCAAGACTGAGATGGTACGGACATGTGAAGAGGAGGTGCATAGATGTCCCGGTGAGGAGGTGTGAGAGGTTGGCCATGGTGGGGCTGAGGAAAGGTAGAGGTAGGCCTAAGAAGTATTGGGGAGAGGTGATTAGCCATAACATGATGCAATTTCAGCTTACTAAGGACATGATCCTTGATAGAAGGGTGTGTAGGTTGGGAATTAAGGTAGAAGGTTATAGATAGGCGAGCGTGTCTCCTTTTCATGCCGGTAGCATTAGTATTAGTCTCGTTTTCGTATCTTTTTATCTGCAAATTTCTTTTACTATATGTTGTTTCCTTCGCTTCGATTATTCTATCACCTTATCACATTTGCTTGCTGTTGTTACTTGTTGGTTCTGCTTTATTTTCATTTTTTTTGAGCTGGTGGTCTATCGGAAATAGCCTTCCTACTGTCGTAAGGTAGGGTAAGGTTTGCGTACACTCTATCCTCTCTAGACCCCTCTTTGTGGGATTACACTGGGTTTGTTGTTGTTGTTCAACTATATTATGGAATTATAGATTTGCCACTTGAGCGAGGTAGCTTCCGGAATAGATAGGCTTATTATATTGAACCGATGGGGGTAACTTTCAAGACTATTAATTAGTTTGTACTGCCACAAGTATGTTTAAGATCATTGTCTTATACCGTTAGAATGCGGGGATTGGTCAAAACCTAAGTTGCTCGGACTCAGGTGCGAGTGTTTGATACATGTGCGGATCTAGAAGTCGGATCCTTCATGATCTAAGTTTTAAAATTCAGAGGTACGTATCCAGGTAGGGAAATTTGTTTAAAAACAATTTAAGTATCCAAATAATTATATTATAAAAAATTATAAATAATGAGATTTTATGTGAAAAACTTATAAGGTATTCCGAGAAAGAGAATTGGTCAAAATGAGAACATGAGAACGAGATTTAAAAAAAGGATTGACATAGAATTTTTTTATATACAAGGTATTTCATTTTACTCAATTTCACTCTAGCTTTTGTTTTGATTTTAGAAATTATTGTATCTGTCCCCAATTTCTCCTCGATTTTGGTCAAAGTACCCAAAATTGGTTGACCATATCCAGTACAAATTCTACACCCACATCCATACACACATCCTATTGACAAGAGTACGGCACTAGAAGTTGAGTCTGAGCAACTTAGGTCAAAACGTAAGTCTTATTTTAGATTCGAGAACATATGGCTCTCTATCGAGGGATTCATTGATAGGAGCTGGATTCATTGATAGGGTAGCTCCTGGTACGGATGGTCATACCATGGTAGGCTCTGATCAAGATGGTCACACCACACTCGAGCTTGGTCCGGATGGTCACACCATGGTACTCTTCCAAAAGTGTTAGCCATTTATCAATGGATTTGATTGGAACTTTTGGTAATTTTTGCAGAGAAGAATATTTTTTTCAAAGCTTGAATGCTATATTTAGTTCACTGTTCCCTAAAAACGAAAGTGCTATAGAGTTAGAGGATTTTAGACCGATAAGCTTGTTGGAAGTGTGTGAGAGATAATAACTAAAGTTCTCAATGAAAGATAAAGGCATTGATTGCAAATTAGTGTTAAACCTTCAAATTCTTTTGTAAAACGTAAACATAATAAATTCTGGTAGCTAATGGATGTGTTGATGCAAGGGAATGATTGGGAGAAAAGGAATTTTATCCAAGCTAGACTTGGAGAAAGCATATGGTCACTTTGTGCAACCAGGCTTTGTAAGAGCCACTAGGCTTTGTGCAACAATGGATTTGGTCATTGATGTATAACTATGATCAAATTCTCAATAATGATAAATGGTACACTAGTGGAATTTTACCTGCATAGAAAGGATTGAGACAAGAAAATCCACTATATCTTTCCTGTTTCTTCTAGTTATGGAAGTATTAAAAAGAATGCTTGCCGAAGCAGCAAAGGAAGGTTGAATAAAATGCTCAAGTGCCCCCACCATAGCACAAAAAGTATGGAGGCGACTCACATTTTTTATGTGGATGATAAACTAGTAAAACGTGGAGCTGATTAAATCCAACCAAGGCCTTTAAGGCGGTATTACTTAGCGTTTGAGGTTGTAATTGGACTACATATCAACCCTTCTAAAAGCAGCTTGCACATTCTTTATACGGATGATAAACTAGTATTATGTGAAGCAGAAGGAAGTCAACTAAGACATTTAAGGTGGTATTACTAGCTTTTGAGGTTTTATTGGACTACATGTCAACCCTTCTAAAAGCAGCTTGTTCCCGTTAAATGAGGTTAAAAATATACATCCACAAGCTGCTATTCTACGTTGTATGGCGGAAAGCTTCCCTACTACGTACTCTGAGGCATTTTTTATGTGGATGATAAACTAGTATAAAGAGGAGCTGAAGAAATCCAACCAAGGCATTTAAGGTGTTATTGCTAGCCTTTGAGGTTGTAATTGGACTACACGTCAACCCTTTCTAAAAGCAGCTTGCACATTCTTTATACAGATGATAAACTAGTATAATGTGGAGATGAAGAAAGTCAATTAAGGCATTTAAGGTGGTATTACTAGCCTTTGAGTTTGTAATTGGAGTACATGTTCTAAAAGCAACTTGTTTCCGTTGAATGAGGTTAAAAATATACATCCACTAGCTGCTATTCTAGGTTGTATAACGGAAAGCTTCCTTACTACGTACTCTGAGGACCAAAGATATGCGGGAGAAATTTGATACGATGTGATTAACAAATTTGAGAAAAAGGCTTACTGGCTAGAAAAACTATACTTACCATCAGTAGTGTGCTACTTGGGATCCTAACATATCAATTGTCTTTTCACCAGGCTTTTGCAAAAGGTCCTAAAATAGATGAACAAGTTAAGTAGGAACTTCCTGCGGGATTCAGAAACATATAAGATGCACTCGGTCAAGGGGAGCATAGAGGTAAACCTAAAAGATGGGGAGGATCGGGAGTGAAGAATTTAAAGTTACACAATAAAAGGGAAGTCATTGTGTCCAAATATGGAATGGAAGGTCCCGGAGGACCAAGGTATGTACATGCTCTTTTGGTGTCTCGTTATGTAAGCACATGACTAGTAGTGGAAGGAATTCCCGAAAGGGATAAAACTTTAGTGGGAGGCATTGATGATTTGTTGTGTGGTGGTCATCTTAACTACTTCTTCCTCTTGCTTGCTTTTGAAGGCTTGCAGCCTGGCAAACAACTTCAATGTGCAATTTGGAAGGAAAACAACAATTACTATGCCTCATTTCCAAACAAGTTGAAAAATATTTTTTAAAGTTTTTCAAAAACTTGAATTTTTTTTTCTAATATTGTTTGCAGGGTAAGTGTAAGGCTACGTACATCCTACCCTTCTCTGACCCCACTTGTGTGAATATACTGGGATGTTGTTGTTGTTGTAATTTTGTTTGCAAAAGCTATCAAACAAACACTTTAAACCATGCCTATATCTGCTTGATATTATGTGGTCCATATTAGTTGAGAGAATATGATGTTGTTTCTTTATATGGTATTAGGTAATTCTCATCTCATGAACTAACTTTTAAGATTGAGGTATGCTCAAGGTTCTTTTTCTTAGCATGGTATCCGAGCCAAATCCATCACTATTCTTGATTTACGTAGTGTTAGGCACCCATGCTATTGTCTGTGCTTTAGCTGTCCAGGCTTGAGTGTCCAGAGGAGAGGGGAAGGTATTTTAGGGGGATAAAGTTATAGATTTCTCATTTATTGAGTTGCTACTTTATGTTTACAAAGAGAACAAACTATATTTTTGGGGATTCATTTGCTTTAGTGATGCTTAGATTTGCTTGAGAAACTTGACTAGTTAGTTTTTTCTCATTCCTTTTTTTATTTCTAAGTGTTTCTTGGTATCTGCTTCAATATCTAGTCTCTACGTCTAAATGTCCCTAAGAATGATTTGTATGTAAGTCCTCATTATTCATGGGACCCGAGTTTTTGAATTTCATTTCTTACACTTGCCCTTAATTCCTCGTCTCATTGACTAGCTTTTTCTTGTGAATATTTCGTAGTTATCCATACTAGTTAGGCAATTTTCTCAAATGTGTTGCGTCAAAGACTTGGGAAAGTATTGAAGTTAAATCCCTAAATAATAAGCACCCAAGGGTGTGGCCTAGTGGTCAATGAAGTGGGTCCAAATCCTAGTGGAGGCAAAAAATACTAGATGATTTCTTTCCATATGTCCAAGCCTTGGTGGATAGAGTTGTCTGGTACCTGTGCTGGTGGGAGGTAGTCAGATAGCAGGTACTCCGTGGAATTAGTTGAGGTGTACACAAGTTGGTCTGGACACCACTATTATCAAAAAAATTCTAATTAGTAAAATGATACACACTTTTTCCTTGCACCGATTTTCAAAAATCAACTCATTATGCAGTATAATTTCTTGGTTGATAATTAAATAAATTGATTGAGTTGGTTTATGTTGTCATCTTATGAACATGCGCCTCTACATGGAAAAAGCACATTCGTGCAGGATAGTGTATGATTAGGTTCTTTATTTGTGCAGATATCATGGCGAATGAGTATCAATTGCCTTTCAAGGTGGGGCAATCTGCTGAATCAAGGTCTTTCCAAAGTGGATTTCGTAGTGCATGGTTTCGGTGTAAGGTACAAAATGCAAAGTTTGGTTATAGTGTAAGCTTGATGCTTGCAAATTTGTGTTAGTTCTAGGTTAAAGGCTCGCTTAAACCCTAAAGCTTGGTGAAACCTAGTTTGTGCGCTTCGCTTCGCTTAATTCGCGATTTAGTGTAGGCATCAAGGTGCACCTTCATCAATTAATTCTTAATTATAGTTGTTCATTCTTTTCTCCAAGTAATTATTATTTCTAATTATGGTTACATTTTCTTGTATTACATTTTCATTTTTATCCTTCTCTGCTAAAGCCCATGCTTTAATGATTCTTTGCGCTTAAAGCTTCAACAAACTTTGGCGTTTTATTGCGCTTTTCGCTTTTGATTACTTTGCGTAGTTCAATGCATGCATGCCTAAGTTGCTCGGACTCTTCACTTTCGGTGCCGCACTCGTGTCGGCACGACGTGGGTGTGGGATCCGTATCGGATATGGTCAACCAATTTTGGATACTTTAACCAAAATCGACGGAGAAATTCGGGACATATAAAATGATTTTTGAAGTTAAAACAAAAGCTAGGGTGTAATTGAAGAAAATGGAATACCTTGTATATAAGAAGTTTTTATGTTAGTCCTTTTTCTTTTATCTCCTTCTCGGGTTCTTCTCTTGATCAATATTTTCTCCTTCTCGGAATACCTCGTAAGTTTTTCAAATAATGTCTCATAATTTAGACATATTCTTATAACTCTACTTTTAGATATTTAAATTATTTTTAGCCGAATTCCAGCACCCGTATTCGTACCTGGATCTGTACCCCCGAATCTTAAAATTTAGATCATGAAGGATCCGACCTTTAGATCTGCACCCGTATCGGACACCCGCATCTGAGCCCGAGCAACTTAGTTGCATGCTGGATAGGGTCATCATGAATATGTCATTTGTGAAGTACTTTTTTTATGAGTCTCTATTTTTTGTAGATCAAGTTCATGGTTACCTTCTTCTGGCTTTTGTGTTATTTTTATCCCCTTTTAGCTAAGTTTAATATGAGCCACCTTTTAATTGGTCATATTTTATGTGACATACTTTTCTTTTTATATGGACCAAACACATTTCGCTATTTGGAAACTATTTGATCTTAGTTTCCATATTTTACCCTTATTAATAGCCTGTCTGGCCGTGATTCTTTTTGGCTAAAAGTATTTTTTTAGTCAAAAGTATTTTTTTTTCAAAGTTAAAGGTGTTTGGCCAAGCTTTTGGAAAAAAAGTGCTTTTGAGTAGAAGCAGAAACATTTTTTGAGAAGTAGAAAAAAATAGCTTCTCCCTAAAAACACTTTTTTGAAAAGTACTTTTGAGAAAAATACACTTAGCAACACTTTTAAAAGCTTGGTCAAACGGTAATTGATGCTTAAAAGTGCTTTTCAAATTAATTAGCCAAACTCACCAAAAGTATTTTTTTGAAAAACACTTTTCAGAAGAGCACTTTTCAAAATAAGCCGATTTTAGAAGCACATCCAAACATGCTATAAAATGACTTGTGGCCTACTTGATATAAGTTCGTCACCTCCACACTCCACCTCGCCACTGGCGTTGAAACCATAACTAAAGGATTTAATCGGCATGCATCTTCACCACATTGTTGTGAGGATTCATATAGCCAATCGTAACTTGGTAGGCATTGAATGTTGATGCATCTTCACCACTTTGTTTATTAGACTAACGAATTGGTGGATTGATTCACTAGTGCACTTTGAGGTCCAATTATAAGATAAAATGTGGCAAAATTGGAGCATACTTTTTTTGTACATTTCAGACGGTGCTGGGGTTCTTTAGGGGGGTTGGGGGGTAGGAGTAAAGACATTATTTTGTGTGGTGCATGTGATTAGGACTAAGACATCTACATAATCAAGGAAATTGTAAGTAGACAAATTTGTATTTGCATACATGAGTAAATTATGAAGTTCATTAATTAGGAATGGTGTCCTATAATTCTTTAGACTAATAATCATGTTTATATGACAATTGCATAATATAAATGCATAAGGGTACGCTCTTTATAATCTCAAGCTTTCCATTAAGAAGTCGAGTACAATGCATTTATTCTCTTTTTCCTACTGTACCAGATAAAGGAGATTAGCCACAAAAGAGGACATTGGAATGCGCTATTGGAATACTTTGATTATCCAGATGAAAGTATGTTCTCTGATGTGTTGGTTTCAGAATTTGAATTCATCAGTACTCATTACCTGAGGACTTTATACCTTGCTTTAGATGCTAAAATCTTCATCAGCGCACTATTTCTTAATTTGGAGGTTAACTTACTTTCTAGGTACCGGACATCTAAAAATCATTGAATGAAGAAGATATGATGGAAGTGTTTTTTCTTTTCATCTGAAAATAAAGTCCTCAAAATGTTTTCTATGTTATACATGATACTTTCCTGATCATGCCTTCAAGCTTCAGTTTCAAATGCTTATTAAAGTAGTAGACATGAACAGACATGCTTGATTTTGCTATGTGCTGTCTGTATCTGGCAAGCTTGGATATGTCATGAGCGTGATTCAATACGTCAGATGTTGTCTCTCCGTTGGCAAAACTTAGGTTCTTGGAACTAGAATTAGATCCTAGGAATGTTCCTTGCAGGCTGCAGCAGAGGCTCAAAAGTATTTATGGATAAAGGATTATATAGAGCTGTTGCCTTTGAAGTATTAGTTCTTTTGCCCATCTTGTTTTTGGTGTCCTGAAAGTTGGTTTGGCACCAGTCACAGAGCAGCCCATGATCAAGCCATGACGGCAGACACCATGATACCTTTTTGGGCCAATCCGCTTGATTAGTGGGAATCATATGTGACACATCTTAGTATGGTGGATGCATCTTTTAGGTACTTTCAGTGGTTGTCACTTGTCAGTGAAATGACATAATGCTGCTAGACATTTTGCCTTCTTTTGCTGAATAACTCTCCTGTAGATGCTGGACAACCTTAGCTATAGCCTTACTTCTTATTGCGGTTTCAGTGGTTGTTTCTATCTGACATCTGTTATTATTAGTTGTCTTTGTCTTGGTCTGTTAAGTCAATTTAGCTAATTTATAAGTCAATGGACACGTACTCTGGTGTTTTTCATCTTCCCTGAAATATTGCCTTCAAGTCTAACCTTTGGCATTATTGTCGCATATGTTGCATCAGGCTGTAGTCTTCTTACTGTCTCCTCTTTTGCATTATTGTTACAAATGTTGCATGAGGCTGTAGTCGTCTGTCTCCTTTCCAGCATTTGAGTTATCATTTTTCCAAGTGTCAAGTATGCTTGCGTTGGCTTGGGATTTAAGCAGTTCAATTTCTTGATTATTCCTATCCTATGAAAGACAATACCAAATAGAGAAATTCACACCTTACCATGCTTCATTTCCTTAATGCTTTACTGTGGTCAAGTTTTAAGGAATAATGGTATAGAGAGATAAAAGCAGAATGGGGCTACCAAAAATGTTCTGTTCTTTTACCCTGTCAGAGACTTTCTTGTTTCGTAAATAGAGATATTAGGTGTTTTCAGGTAAGACTGTTGCTACATCTGTATCTACAAATGCATGCTAATCGTTTCACCCTGATGTTACAGAACTGACTTGGATGAAGCTGTACCAAGTGCCCCCATATAATATTGGGAAGTCGAAGGAGAAAAAGCAACTAATGCTGCGTCCGCAGTATCCTCCAGTCAAGCTTAAAAATGAAGTTTCAGGTGTTAGTTCAATTTCTGATGCTATGATAGTTGTAGATGGTAATTGGAAGGCAGGTGATATGGTTGATTGGTGGGCTAATGGCTGTTATTGGTCTGGGCAATTGATAAAGTTACTTGGCAACAGTAAAGCTGAGGTAATAAATTTTGTTATATTCCATGTTAACTGGCTGGTTATTGGTAGTAATAAAAGAAGGGTTACTTGATGAGGTCTGAGGGCCCGCTCTTCAATATCATCAGTTCATCTTTGATACGACCTGAGTTTTTTTTTTTT